GGGCATGAACATGTTGAGTGAAATCAGGTTTTGCTTTGCAATAAAATCCCTTCCTGTCCTGTGTCAGCTGCAACTTCTGCTCCCCTCCCCGGCTGAAGGGCTCCCCAGCATTTGGAGTGGGGGTGGGCGGTATCAGTCTTTTCATCGCCTCCAGTCTCCCTTCCTTCTGGAGTCTGATCCAGACCACGAAGCCCCCAGCCTCACCCATAGGTGGGTGTGGGGTGCCCTGCTCCTGAGCATCATAGGATTATCCAGGCCCTGCAGCCCACCCTGTTCCCAACCATGTGCCAGGGATGGGGTGAAGCCCCTTGCCGTTGTGAAGCTCAGCTGCTGCCCGGGCTTGTGCGTGTGCTCGTCGTGAATAATAGATTTAGTCATGGGCTTCTGCCACCTCGGCCAGCCTCCGACTCTGTTGATTTAAAATCTGCAAGCACCTCGGTTTTGCCTGTTTTTTGGCTGGGGCAGCAGCCTCGGCATCGATGCTGGCGAGCACTCCCGCAGGGCGGTGCCTGGGATGCACAGCCCATGTCTATCACAGCGCTGAATCCGGCCCAAAGTCACTGCCCTCCTTGAACGAAAGTCACCCTGACTTTGCTGTTTCTCACTTCTCTGTCCTGCTACACCAACTTCTGCTAAAAGCACCCGGATGACTTTGCCTCCCTGGATACTCCCCAGCTCCTAGAAGGTGCAATTCTAGAAAAGCCAGCTGAGATGAGAACAGAGCAGCTTGGGGAGGCGGCTGGGAGCACGGACATCGAGACAGACACGAGTAGCAACAAAAACATGAGGATGTGGAGAAATTGGCTGTGCAGGGAAGCCAGAGGAGCTGGAAAGAGTTGTTCAGATGAGGCATCGGGACTGGGGGTAAAAGAATTAATGTGGATTTTTAACACGGATGCCCCTCTCGAGTGATGCCCCTGGCTGTCACCAGACCCCTGTGCTCGGGGGTCCTCACCCTGGTGCAGCCCTTCCAGAGGAGAACAAACCTATTGCCCCCACAGACCCCTTTTCTGGGGGCTGCACTGCCCCTGTGGCCATGCCCAGAGATGGGGAGCATGGCCATGGCTGCTGCCATTGAGACTTTTGGGCGCGGGCAGGCAGATGAAGGTGGCATGGAAATGGCACCCAGGAACCTGCCTTGTTCTGCTCAACCACTTCTCATTTTGTCCCACTGGCTTCGGCTCCTGCTCCCTCCCTGCTGCATCTCCACACAGCTGCCCAGGAGCGGGGAGAAGGGGAGGGGAGATGGTGGGATGCAACAAGGGGAGCAGTGGGCACACGACTTGCCAAGCACATCACTCCACAGCTCAAAAATTGCCAAGAAGATGATTTTGCAGTACATAACTGCCAGTTTTGAGGCAGCTGTGAAAGGGTCTGTGTTCTCCTGAGGAAATCAAAAGCTGAAATGTTGCACAGTTCTGAAAAAAATCTCTCTCTTAATATGTGGTTTGCATAATAATACAGCACGAGTTTATGACACAATTCAGTTTGGCTTCCTAAAAGATGGGGTAACTAGGATTAAAAAAAATTGGTCCTTTTGGGTCCTACTTTGCTCACCCAAAACCTCTTTTCTCAGAAAGCCTCGAGAGTACTTCCTGAGCATTTTTGCGGCCTTGGAAAGCTAAAACCAGGGTCGCAACACAGCGATCCTCAGAATTATAAAGAAATAAGGGTCTTCTTGAGACACACTCAAGACGTTTGTGCTGGGTCCGAAGCTGGTGTGAGCCAGGACTTCGGGCCGACCCAAGGAGGAAAGGGCAGGGACAAGAGGGCAGGGTGCTGCGGCTGAAGGCGTGCGCCGTGTGAGGCACCCGTGGGTGGTGGGCTGCCCCTCTTCAGCTGCTGCGAGGTGGCTGGCTTTGCTCGTTCACGCAGGGGGATGATTGTGGCAGCTCTGGGGCGGGATGTAGTTGGCACCACATCCTCTCTCCTACCAGCACCGCGGTAGGCTACTGCCCAACTCCGCAGGGCCTCCCCTAAGGTCATTAGGGAGGTATAAGTGCTTCTCACTGTGTATTCTTATCTCACAGTTAAGGAACATGTGTGCCACGAAGGCAGCAGCGATGTGTTGCCCTGGCTCCAGAGTCCCAGACAGCATGTGGGCTCCTCTCCTTTCCCAGCACAGAGGCCTCCGCGTCCAGCGAGCACAGGCAGGGAAAGGAAAGCAAGGTGCAGAGACACGGCTGGGTCCTGGTGGCATCTCCTCAGCTCCCCAGCCAGCAGGATGGGGTCCCTGTGAAGCAGCCTGTGGCTCCATCTAGTGCCAATGCAAGCCTGGCCCAGGCCAGCCCTGCACCCATTGCTGGGCAAAAGGGGCAAATCAGAGCCCCTGGCTGGAGGCAGTGTTACAACCCAGACTGGGGGCCCAGGGACTCATAAAGGTTTCATGATCCCCTCAGGATAAATTAAGATGATGTGACACCAAACAGCTGGCTAAAATGTTTCACCTGCAGTAGAAACAACTTAAACTTGGAAAAGGATAGTAAGCAATGTGGCCTCCTATTGATAAATCTATAAGAAAGAAAATGAAGTAAAAGAAAAGGAAAGGAGAGAAAGAGTCAGAGAATCCAGACCACCAACCCGGGTTCCAGTGTTGTCTCAGATCTGGTAATCTTGGGTGGTGGGGGCACAGGCAGCAAAACTTTCTGTCACCTTTTAAGTTCATCGTATTGGCTGATTTGCATATTAGACGAAGAGAGGCAGGCATTCCACAAACTCATTTCCATGAGAGACAAGGAAAAAGTGAAGTGCTGAGGGGGGATGGGGTGCATTAACCCTTTCATCCAATTGAATCAGTGGTTGTGATCCTCCTACCACCTTTACTTTTTCCCCAATTTTTGCTTCTTGGGCAACTATCCGGCCTTTCAGCTCCATCTGGTGCTGGGTGTATTCGCTTATCAATCTTTTAGCTCTTCTTCAAGGATATAGCCATAAATGAAAGTGTAGGCATTAACCCAAACATATGGTTTTATTCAGCCTACATTTGAGGTTTATCTAGGGAACTTGGCAATACAACCACAAAGGAGTGTAGCCACGCACCCTTCGATACACTCTGCATTTCCCTAGGCAGGTAGTTTGCTCCTTAGACTAACCACAAAGGCCACAACTTGTCTTTGAGGCTTTCCCCATCGATGAATGTTTGAGGCATCAACTCCATCAGTTCCCTACAGGCAGCCACCTGGGCAGGCAGGTACAGGAGGGCAGCACTGCAATGACATCCAGGAAAAAAATATCCCCCTACAACAGGGAATACTTCAAGCAGTCACTCAAGGAAATCATCAAGTGCTGACAGCAGGGCACAGGTCTCTCACCACCTGGAGAGGAGATGCCCCCTGACACGGCAGATGCCCCTGGCATTTCACCCATCCCAGTGCTCACCTATGCCCACTGCTCATGGCTGGGGCGGGCTCTTCTCAGGGATGGCTGTCCTGAAACCGGTCCCTGAAGAGAGCTGGGAGTGTCCTGTCTCAGTGCCCAGGTCTCCTCAGCCTGCTGGGTAAAGAAGCAGTGGGAAAGTTTGCCAGGCTTCCCAGCCAGGGATTTACAGGGAGTGAGGAAGACATCCCGGCTGCAGTGCGGGGATGGCAACAGGTCCAAGAGGCTCTGGCCCTGCAGAAAGACCAGGCTCCCTCCTTCTCCCATCCAGGCAGCAGGAGGGAACTGTATGATCTCTGTGGCCAGGACAGGCTCACGGGTACATGTGAGTGGCCTCAAGGCAGCCCACGACGCTGAGGATGGGTGAGGACAGCCCCTCTGCAGAGGCTGCCCAGGCAGGGGCCATGCGGAGGAGAAATCCACATCAGCGCTCCCGGTGGGCGGCCGTCCCCTGGGCCGGGGTGCTCTGGGTGCCTTGGTGCTCCGGGTGGCTCGCTGCCCCCCCGGCGGCTCGCTGCCCCCCCCGGCGGCTCGCTGCCCCCCCCGGCTCCTCTGCCTGAGCAGGGCTGGGGACCGCGCAGGGCTGGGGATGCTCCGCCGGGGCCGCAGCCGCGCCGGGCAGCCCGGGGGTCCCGGCAGGAACCGGTGCCCACCACCCTGGCAGGCTGCACCCCCTCTCTTCGTGTCGTCCGTCCGTTCCCCCCCTCCCGCGGCGGGACGGCCAGTGCAAAGCGCTGAGTCACCCCAGCTGTCCCGTCCCCCCCCCCCCCCCCGTTGTCCCCTGCCGCTGGCCCCTCCCGCTGGCTTTTCCGACAGGGACCGGCTGGGCAGCTGGACTCGGCGGGAGGCCAGGGGCGAGCGGAGCCCCGGGGCGGTGGCCGTGCCCGGTGTGCTGACAGCACCGGCTGCACCGCTGGGGCCAGCGAGCGAGGTCAGTGCCCCTATCCCCCTCCCCACCCCCTCCGTTGCCGGTGCCCCCCCCCGGGCACACACGCAGCCCCTGCCAGGCGCTCCCACCGCCTCCTTGCTTTTCCCGCAGCGCCTTGGAAGGTCCCACGCAGCCCCGCTCCCCGCCCCGGGAGGTTTGCCCAGCGTTGTGCTGGGGGGGGGGGGGGTGGGGGGGCGCAGGGGGACAGCACCCCCCGGCCACGGGGACGGAGGCTGCGGTGGGGGACAGAGGATGGGGACGGAGGCGGGGGGCACGGGGAGGGGTGCTGGGAAGGCGGCCGGGCAGCGGAGCGCCCCCGCTCCGCTCTTTACCCACGCCTCCCTATGACCTCACCCGCCCGACCGGCGAGCGCGTGACGTCACGAGGCGGCGGCGCCGCGGTTGGCTGCAAGTGCCGCTCGTCGGCCAGCGGAGCCCGCCTCCAGGCCCCGCGGCGGGCGGGGAGGGCTCGGCTGCGGCGCTCAGGTGGGCACCGGATGGGGGGGGGGGGGGCCGTGGCGTGGCGTGGCGTGGCGTGGCGGGGGAGCGGCTTACGGGGGGGAGCGGGGCCGGTCCGGTGCGGTGCCTTCCCGTGCTGCCCCCCCCCCCCCCCCCCCCGGTGGCCTAGATGCGCTGTCTGCCCGCCGGTGGGGTCGAGGAGGGGGCGGCGGGGGACGGGGAACACACGCACGGACGGACGGACGGACGGACGGAAACTTCCAGCTGGGCCCGGCGGCTCCGGGAACGCCGTGTTTACAGCCGGGCCGGGGGGGCGGTCCCCGGCGGCACCGCCCCGCCGCGTTCCCGGTAACCGTCCCGGTGGGGGTGCCAGCGCCGCCTTCGCTGTCAGCTGATGCGGGGCGGGGGGGGGGGGGGGGGGGGGGGGGGGGCGAGTACGGGGGGTGTGGGGTGGGGGTGTCGGCGTTCCGGGGTCCGGGAGGGGGGGACTAGAGGGGCGGCGTCCCGCTCCCATCCCCGATCCGGAGCGGGTCGGCCGGTTGAAGTGTCCCGGGGTGCCCGGCGACGGGGGGGAGAGCCCCCCCCGCTGAGCCTTTAATCCGCTCCAGCCCCTAAGCACCTTAGCGGGCTGCTCCTGCTGCCTTTCCCCCCCCCGCCCCGGGACAGACACCCCCCCCCCCCCCACCCCGGGGGGGACGGGAGGCGAGCTGGGGGGACAGCGGGACAGACCAGCGGGGCCCACGGTGAGGATCCCTGTCCCCTTTCCTTGGGCAAGTTGGGGTGATGGAGGTGGGACGGCATCCCCAGCTGGGGCTGTGCGTGCGTCCAGGTGGCCGAGTGCTGGGGAGCCCTGTGTGGGGTTGTTACTGAGCCGCTTTCAGGGAGACCTGCGGGGTGGCTGGGATGCCTGGGGAGGGCAGGGCAGCCCGCCCTTGCTCTCTTGCACTGGGTGCTGCCAGACTGTGCCCGCGGCCACCTTGACGTTGCCTTTCCCACCTGCAGTGACCCCGCCGGACAGCCGCACGTCATGGTGGACTACTACGAAGCGCTGGGGGTGAGCCGCGATGCCACTGCCGAAGACATCAAGAAGGCGTAAGTGCGTGGCAGGCGTGCCCCTGCCCGAGCTGCCTGGCGCCAGCGAGGCGGGGGCTCCCTGTGGAGCCTGTGGGGACAGGGCCCAGCTCCAGAGGTGACAATCCAGCCTTTGTTTCCTTTGTGCGGAGGCCGGAGCGGGGCTGGGCTTTGCTGCCGCGCAAAGGCATCTCTTGGTGGGGTTTGGTGCCTCTGTCGTGGCTCTCGGCCCCGGGACTGGGGATGGAGGCGGGTCCCGCTGGTGTTTGGAGGTGTCCCTTCTTTCTGCTGGGGGGTGCAGGGATGGCAGAGGGCTGGGGTGCAGGGGCTCTGCTGGTGTCAGGGTTGGGGGGGCTGGAGCTCACAGGGTCGTGGGGACCGTTGGCAGGTCGCATGCTGCACCCCAGGCACTGCAGGGGAGCCCCAAGGGCGGACAGAGCCTCCTGCGGCTCCTGCCTGGCACCCTGCCGAGGTCTTGCTGTTCTCACTGTGGAAATGCATCACTGAGGAGAGGAATAGTTGTGGACTGGTGGCTTGCCTGGAGGGGACAGAGGCAGGGGACAGAGGTCCCTGCTTGGGGTTGGGGGGGAGCTTCTGAAGAGTGGGTTAAAAAAACTGGGCAGCCTGGGTTAACCCCAGCTAGCTGCAGGCAGGAGGAAAGGGCTGCTTGTAGTCACCTGGGCCCTGGAGCTCCCCAGCGACCCCTGGTCCTTGCACGCCCTCGGCAGAGCCCGGGAAGGCTCCGGAGCAAACCTGGAGGAAACCTGTGAGCATCATCTGGAGCTGCTGCCGGTGCGGGCTCAGGCTGCACCGCTGGGGTCATGCTGCAAATATTTGCTCGGGAAGTGAAGCAGTCCAGGAAGCTCCTGTTTGATGCCTGAGGCTGTAGGGCGCTGGGTGATGTGGATTTGGGGTGCCCCTGCCCACAGAGCTGGAGGTGTGTGCTCAGGGGGGTCCCTGGCACAGGAGCCCCCCCTGCCCGAGGGCTGCTGCGTGCCCATCGCTGCCCGTCTGTGCAGGTACAGGAAGGCTGCGCTAAAATGGCACCCGGATAAAAACCCAGACAACAAGGAGTACGCCGAGCAGAGGTTCAAGGAGATCGCCGAGGCGTACGAAGTGCTGTCGGACAGTAAGAGGCCATGGTGCTGTCTCATGTGTCCCCCTGGCCCTTGGGGCTGCTTGCCCTGGGGTGTCCTGCTGCTGGGCTCACCCAAGCGGCATCCCCGGACATCCCCAGGAGGCAGCAGGTCCCTCCAGCTTTACCACCCAGCTTGTGGGGCTTGGTTACCTTCCCAGATATCCCCTGAAACGGCTCTTGGGAGAGATGCTGGGGTGCTGGCCTCCGGGCTGAGGTCTCCCCAGCGGGGCTGAGGCTTGCGCGTCCTCACCCAGTGACCCGATGTGGGTTTGGGAGCAGTGCCGGTGCGGCGGGGACTCCTGCCGCCCCACTGCTCTTGCTCCCTGCTGCTCTGCACCTCCCTTGGCCAGGGGAAGCGTCGGTGCTCCTGCCCATGCCTGGCAGCCGGCTTCCCCGCAGCCCCCCTTTCTTCTCCTTCCAGAGCAGAAGCGCGATGTCTACGACCGTTACGGCAAGGACGGACTCATGGGGGCAGGTGAGTGGGTGAGCAGGGCCATGGGGGGTTCGTGCAGCTCTGGATACGGCCCCATCTGAAGATGCTGTGTGGGTCTGTGCTCACCCAGGGCTCCACTTAACTCTGAGTCTCTTCCCTCCGGCAGGACCAGGGGGCTCCAGGGCCGATGCTGGGGCCCCTGAATTCACCTTCACCTTCCGCAGCGCTCATGATGTCTTCCGGGACTTCTTTGGGGGGCGAGATCCCTTTGCTGACTTCTTTGGTGCGTGCAGGGCAAGGGGGGCCCGGGGCCAGCTCTGGGGCACCTCTCTGGCCCTGGGGCAGCTGCGGGGCTCGGGGGGCAGAGCGCATGGCTGGCCCCGGCGGGGAGTCCCCATGGCAGTGCCCTGCTCCTGGCTCACCAAGGCAGTGCTGATGGAGAGGGGGCGGGGGGGGGGGCTTGCCTTCCAGATGAGATGCTGCCCTTCTCCGAGCTGCGAGGACCTGGCCCCCGGCACCATGGGGGAGGCCACTTCTTTTCGCCTTTCCCAGGATCCTCAGGTAGGAGACGTTGCCAGCCCCTGCCCAGCTGGGGAGTCCTGGGACACTGGGTCCCTGTCCCCAGGGTCTGTCCCCTGCCTTCCACATGCTCCCCACCCTGGCACCGACTTTGTCAGTCCCTTCTCCAGATTTCTTCGCCTCATCCTTCGGCTCTGGCGCTGACGCAGGGCTCGGCTTTCGCTCCGTCTCCACCTCCACCACCTTCGTTAATGGCAGGCGCATCACAACCAAACGGTGAGGGCAGTGCTGGCCCACTTTGCCCCTGCGGACCCCCCTCATCAGCAGGCCTCAGACCCTGCAGCTTGCCGCTGCAGTGCTCTGGCTGCCTGGCCTTCAACTGTCCATCCATCCGTCTGTCTGTCTGCAGGATTATCGAGAACGGACGGGAGAGGGTGGAAGTGGAGGAAGATGGGGAGCTGAAGTCCATCCACATCGATGGTGAGAAGCGGCACTGCAGAGCGGCTTGTTGGGGTCTGGCAGTGTAACCTACCCGCGCCCTTTCCCTTCGGGGACCCCTCTCCTCCTTTGGGGTGGCCGGGGGATGCTGTATCCAGGCTTGGTTTTGGGCTGAGCCCTGGTTGGCCCTGATGTGGGGCTCTGCCACGGAGGAGTGTGGGGGGGGGGGGGGAAGGAGTTGCTGGGGCCCCGTGCCAGCTCTGAGGAGCTGGAGCGGACACGACCGCTGCCCCCTACTCCTGTCCCCACAGGTGTCCCTGACGACATGGCGCTGGGGCTGGAGCTGAGCCGGCGGGAGCAGCAAGCCTTCCCCAGCCCACGGCCCCCATCGCCCCCGCCGCCCGCCCCGCACTGGCCCCCGAGCTCCTCTCCCGTCTGCCTCTACACGGACAGCGAGGATGAGGACGAGGACTTGCAGCTGGCCATGGCCTACAGCCTCTCCGAGATGGAGGCTGCGGGGCACCACCAAGCAGGTGGGCACGGCCCCGGCGCCCCGCCGGCCTCGGGGGGCAGCCCCGGCACCCTGTCCTCCTCCCGCAGAGCCCGTGGTCCCCAGGGGGGGCCGGAGCGGGACCCGCCAGGGGCTGGCAGCCCCGCCGCAGTGGGGCATGAACCCGCTCCCAAAGCGAAGCAGTGGCACTGCCCTTTGCTCTGAGCATGGGACTGGGGTTGTGCCCCCCGCTCTGTGGGGCAGGGGAGAGGAAAGGGGGGGTGGGGGCTCGCTGCCTGGGGCTCAGCTCCTGCCTCCCCCAGCAAGGGAGGGGGTGGCTCCTGCCCTGCCTCCTTGCTGCTGTGCAGGTGGGTAAGCGGCTGGTGGCACCCTGCGGTGGGGGGAACTTGCCAGAGTTGGGGGGTTGTGGCTGGAAGAGGGTTCCTTGGTGGGGTCCCAGGAAGAAGGGCAGTTCCCTGCCCTGGCTCCTGGAAGCGCAGGGTGCCCGCGGGCAGGTGTGCCCCGGCTCTGCCCGCTCCTCTCTCTGCCTGCCCTGCAGATGGGCAGGGGCTCCAGCCGGTGCCTCCCTGGCTGCTGCCTGCCCCTGCCCGGGCTGGGGAGAACTGGGTCAGGCTCTCCCTCCTTGCTGGGAGGGCTGCACACGTGCGCTCTGCTTGGTGCCTTGTGTCTGTCTTTCCCCTCTGGATGCTGTAGCTCCTGCCTGTAACCCGCTCCACCTCATTCTCCTCTGTCCCCCTTAATCGCAGACCCTGCCTGGTCGCCCCCATCCCTACACTTTGCATACCCTGCAGGGCACTGTCACCCCTCCCTGCCTTGGCCCGGGGCCACTGTCCCTCCCAGCTTCCCGCAGCAGCAGTGACCCTCAGTGATGCTCACAGCTGTTCCCACCCTCACCACTGCCTGTGGCCCTGCCTTGGCTTTCCTTCTCCTCCTGGGACCTCCCTCCCTCCCTGCCCCTCCCCAGCCCTGGGCTGAGGAGGGTTTCACCGGTGCTGTTGTGTTCCCCCCCCCCCCTCCGCTTGTCTCCCCAGGTGTGTTCTGAGGCTGCTGCGCCCAGGGACCGCGCACGCCCATGGAGGCTCTCCCAGCCAGGACTCCGCTTTGTCCCTGCACGGCCACCCCCTGCCACCCCCTTCCCCCAGCACCCTCTGGCTCCGTGGGATGGGGAGGGGCAGGGCTTATGGCCGAGCGATACCTGGGGCCAGGGCGAGATGCCCTGGGCACCATGAGGTGGTGGGGAAGGTGGTGAGGGCGGGGGGGGCGGGGGTGGGGCTGGAGGGAAGGTGGGGGATGCTGTAGATTAGGCTGCTGGGGCAGGGGTGGTGGTGGCAGGCAGCGAGGGGCAGCATGGCTGGGCTCAGCCAGCGGGGCTGGGCTCTGCCCCCCTCCTCGCTGTAGCCCTCCCTCCCTGACCCCCTTCTGCTGACAGCCGTCAATAAATCTGTTTGCAGTAGCTGCTTGCCTGGGGGGTGTCTCTGGGCTGGGGGCTGCAGGGTCCCCCCACCCATCCTTGCTTGCAGGCAGGGGGGGGTCCCAGGCCCAGCTGCTCTCCGCTGGCGGTTGTGGGGTACAGGCTGTGCTCCTGCAGGGATGGGGGGATCCACAGACACAGGCCCTGTATGCCCCGCTACGCACACACAGTTAGAGGCCAGGCATGGCTGCAGCTGCACGAACGCAACACGAGAACTTTATTCACATCAAGATACAAAATTATATTTCTCTAGAAATTTCTTTTCCGCTTGAGTGACGAGGCAGGGAACACACAGAGGGGACCTGGGGCTGGGCCAGGCCCCCCCTGCACCTAGTGCTCTCCCTGACCATAGGGGACCCCTGCCCACTCCTGCCCCCAACCTGGGCACAGGGAGGGAGCTGACACAGGACTACCAGGTTGGGGTGCAAGAGGGCGGCTGGGGGGGGGCCCACAGCCAACTCCCAGCAGCCTCACCCGGTCTCCTCCTCTGCAGGGGACAGGGGACACAAACCCAGTCCCCTCAGTGGTGGCAGCAGGTGCAATTGGGTCCCAGGCTCTGCAGGTAGAGGGGCTGAGCCCTGTGTCCCTGGGGAGCAGGGCAGGGGGAGCCAGAGGGAGGGGGAAACAGAGCCAGCAGCACAGACAGCATTTCACAGGGAGAGCAGCCCCACGGGCAGGGCGAGGAGAGCACGCAAAGCTGGGGGGGGCGGGTAATGGGGGGAGACGAGAGGGGAGGGCTCCTCGCCATCACTGCGGTAGCGCCTTCAGGATGGCATTCACTTCCTCGGCCACAGCCGTCAGCGCGAACTCAAACTGGTCCTGGGGGAGCAGATTGGGGCATGAGGGTCCCTGCCAGCTGGGCTCTGGGGGCTGTGTGTGCTCAGGGTGGGAGGGGATCCCCAGTTTGGGGGGGGGTACCTTGGTCTGCACCATGCCCGGCCGCTGGTCTCGGATGTGCTCCAGCGTAGCAGCTATGTCTATCTCCTTCACCCCTGGGGCAGAAGGGGAAGGAGGGTGCTAGGAAGGGGGTGGGGGTGTCCACAGGCAGAGCACAGGTCCCTGCACCCCCCCCCCCCGGACAGGGCAGAAGCGGTGCTGCCCTGCACCTACCTTTGGCCATTCGGTTCAGGACCATGTCGACAAGGATGTACGTCCCGGTCCTGCCTGCACCGTCACTGCAAGACACAGAGGCTTGGACCAGGGGGACGTGCTTCAGGGACTGGACCTGGCCAGCAGGTCTCAGCCTTTGGGCCCCCGCCAGCCCGTACCCCCCCCCCCACCGGCTCCATCCCTGGCAGTACCTGCAGTGCACGATAATAGGGCAGGAGCGACCCCGGTAGCACTTGTTCACCTTCCTGCAAGGACAAGAGGAAAGAAGGTCGGTGCCCTGCCCTGCTGGGGACAAGGCTGCGGTAGGGGCCCCTTGCTGAGCCGAGCTGGGGGGCAGAGGGCACCCCACGATGTGGCCCTGGGGGTCTGGCACATGGCTGCTCCTGCCTCCCCAGCGGTGCTGGGCATGGGATGGGGACCAGGGGTAGAGAGGTGCCAGGGCAGGGAGAGGAGCCCAGCTCCTCGGGTGCCCAGCCCAGGGAGGGGAACGGTAGCAGGACCCCCAAGGGAGCAGCTCTGGTCCGGTGGGGCGCGAAGCTGGGGGCCAGGCGCCGGCGGGGCTCCCGGCATGCTCCATGCAGCAGGCACGGCTGCCAACGATCACTTTTGTGACTATGCAACTGGAGCCAGATTACTAGCTGCAAATCACAAAAATGACGCCGGCAGCTGCGAGAGAGAGACAGAGACAGACAGAGAGACAGAGAGAGCGTGAGCGGGGCAGAGAGGAGGGCGATGTACTTGGGGACCTCCTGCTGCCTTAAGCAGGGGGGGGGGGCCATGCAGCCTAGGGACAGTGACCAGCCAGCCCCTGGCAGGAGCCCACCACCACCCAGGGGCCCCGAGACCCCAGCAGGCACTGCCTGCAAACCTCCCGGGAGCAGCCCCGGCCCCACAGCCCTCGCCCCGGGCTAGCTGGGGACCCACTGCTGGCTGTAGGGCCTGGGGAGCAATGGGTCACAGCTGTTCAAAGCTGGCTCTGGGTGGGGTTTCTTCTTGCACCCACATCTGGGGAGGGTGCCAGGCAGTGCTGTCCCCCATGCCAGCTCCAGGGAGGAGCACTTTCCCACCCTCCCCTTGAAGGGTGGAGAGCCCCGCCAACCTCAGCTGGAGGTTTCTTGCCGATCAAGCTCATCCCAAGCTGGCCAGAACCTGGTGGTTCTGCTCCTTCCCATGCACGGCAGCCCCCTGTCCCCTCAGCCGGTCCATGCCACGGCCCTGACCCTCCTCACGCCGGCAGCGATGTCCTGGCCCATCAGTCCCCCGCGGCCGGGACCACCGCCGGCTCCCCGGGGGCTGGCATGGCACCGGGTGGGCGCTCACCTGCGGAAGTCGAGGAGGGGCCGGGTGGTGGCAGGGATGCCCTCGGCCGGCCAGCTGAGGAAGTGGAACTGCGTCAGGGTGCGGGTCTCCTGCGACTGCACGTTCTTCAGGTAGAAGCTGCGCACCAGGAAATCCTCGCACCAGATGTGCTCCGACACCAGGTTCACCTGCCCGAGAGAGGCAGCCGGCGGGCGTCAGCGCCGGGCGGGGGGGCTGGAGGGTCTTCCTTGCCCCGGACTACCAGCCGCACTTGCCTCGTAGATGTGGTAGAGAGAGGAGCCTTCGTCCGGCCAGTAGCGGTCACACTGCTTGACGCTGTCCTCAGCCAGCGGGCTCAGCATGACGATGACGGTGCAGCCGTGCTCCCACACCATCTGCAGACAAGGCACGGGGGGTGTCACTGCTGGGTGGCAGCCCAGGCAGGAGAGTGGCCGAGCCGCTGTGACCCATCTGGTGGGCAGCACCCAGAGGGACCCCGATGCGCTGGCACAGCCGGGTGACGCTCACCTGCCAGAAGTCAGCGATAGTGTGGGACAGTGGCCCCTGTGTGGCAATGTACGCCGGCATCCGTGGGTCGTGCTCGATCTGGAGCAGGAAAGGGGGGTGTCAGACTGCACACGCTTCAGCCAGGGGGGGTGGTGACACTGGGAGGAGTGGGGGGGATACTCCAGGGGCGATGGGAGGGTTGGGGAGGGAGCTTCAGGTGCCGCAGCCAGGAGGGATATGGATTTTAACCGTGTCTGAGCAACAGGGCAGGCACATTGCTCACAGCTGTAGCTCACAGGAGTGTGAGCTCAGTCCAACTCCATCACGGAGTGGGAGCCTCGCCTGGGCTGAGCACGTCACGGCGAGGGGTGGCAGGGCAGGGGCCCCCCGTGATCACTCACAATCGGACTGGCGTTGATGAAGTCACTGCGAGACGGGTTGCTCTCGGCTTTCAGCTTGATCCGCACGTGGTCGTCTAGGGGAAACGGAGGCCAGAGGATGTGGCGAGTGCCTGGGGGAGCTGGGGGCAAACCCCCTCCGCAGCCCCCGGCACCCCCCCCACCCCACACCGCCCTCCTGCCACAGCCCTGGGAGCCGGTCCCTGGGGCAGGGCAGCCGGGACGCTCACAGGGCACGTAGTCGGGGTTGCGGTTTTTCTTCAGGTTAGCTTCACTCTGGGCGACGGAGCAGACGCTGGGCTCAGCCTGGTAGGCGCAGAGAGCCTGCCACTCCGTGGCCAGCCGGTCCCGGTTGCGGAGGTGGTCCTCCATATAGGCCTGGGGGAGAGAGGTGGGGATCAGCCCAACAGCTTGGGGATGTACACAGGGGGGCCGGGGGGCTGCCAACCCGCCAGGCCAGCTCACCAGGATCATGTGTCCAGTGGAGATGTCCATGTTGGACTGGACAGGCTCCTCGCACCAGGAAGGCGTGCTGCTGTGGGAGCTGGGGCTGGGCTGCGGGGCGTCGCTGAACTGGGATGAGACGCTGCTGACCCGCGAGGTCTCCGCCGGTGCCGCCGGTGCCTCGGCACGGCCGAAGAGAGACTTGGCAGCCATGTGCTGGCGGCACAGCTCCTGGAGACCCCAGCAAGAGCCCTGTCCTTTGGCCATAGTGCTGCCGCGGGGCAGCCCCGTGCGCCCCAAGTGATGCTGATGCGGCGGGGCTGCATCCCACAAGGCCCCGCATCCCACGGGGTCGTACCTGGTACTCGAAGGTGGTGTCGGCAGCACCCTCGGGCCCCAGGGCGGCCAGGCGCTCCTTCTCCCGCTGCTTGGCATGGCGCCGGAGGCAGAAGGCCGCGGCGGCGGCGATGGCGATGGCTGCCACGCAGGCCAGCGCGATGAAGGTCAGCAGCACCGAGTGGAAGCTGTCCCCGAAGCGGGATGGGTGCGAGTAGGCAGCAGCCTCATTTCTCTGGGGGCAGAGCCGAGCAAAAGTTAGTGGGGAGCATCGGCACGGGGCTGGGAGGGGCAGGGACCCCGTTCAGCAGCACGCCTGGGGTTGTTGGGTGCTCAAACAGAGCAAGCGTGCTCGGTGCTGCGCGGATTCTCCCAGCGCCCTCAGCTGAGGCAGAGCTGGTGTCACTGGGGGGAGGCATGGTGTACCCACCCGTCTGTGCATCGCATGGGGGTGTTGCTCACACTGGTGACCCTGGGGTTGCAGGAGGGGGAAGAGCCTGGCCAAACTCAGGCAGCAGTGACCGGCTGCTCCCCTGCTCCCAGCACCCAGGGCTGCCCCCCTCCCAGGGAGCCCTACGGAGCTCAGGTTCAATGAGCTCCTGCCCAGCTGGAGGTCAACAAGGGCCAGATTCAGTCCAAGGGGTTAATGGCAAAGGAGGGGACAACTGAACCGCTGGGTCCAGGGCAGCAATCGCTGCTCCCAGGGGATGTCCCCAAATGGGGCAGGGTCTCCCCTGAAGCCACTGCTCCACAGCAGGGCACGGTGGGGATATTCTGGCACTGCCAGAGGGTTGGTGCCAATCCCAGCTGGGGGACAGATCCTCCCCACTGCTCTCCTCAGCTGGGACGCAGAGCAGCCCCTGCCACCTTGCAGGCAGTGTCTCCAGG